GGGGGGAGGGGGGGTTGCTCATGAAAACGAACGCGGCAGCCGTTAGATCAAGGACCTTTCATCCCTGTAAATGTCGGGAGGTGGCGGCGGGGAGGAGGGGTGCTTATATTGTGTTGGAAGGATTAATCAAGCTCTCCCTTCGACATCGTCCGCGTCCGAGTTCGTTTGTCCCCGTGGTGTTTCGCCCCGTTTGTGGTCCCGTCGGCTGCGTTGCTGCGTTCCTTGACAGGTGGTTTGTTGTTGTTGTAGTTGTTGTCTTCACAATAAAAACCGTTCCGGTCTCCGCTCAGTACCTTCTTATGTCGGTACTGGTCCAACTGACGCGCACGCCTTCCGTGGTCACAAGGGGGGGTAGGTTTAGAAATCATATATCGTACAGGCAACCCTTTATATGGTGTCTCCGTTTTGGCGAGAGGCATGGGTCTTCGTTTTGCGAAGAGGCGCGGCTTCTTCCCTATCCCCGGCTAATTAGCATCCAGAGAGCGGCATGAACGAACGTTTACGAATGATGCCTATCAACTCATGAGGAACGTCACCTGCCGTAGCCGTGCTTCATGCCATTCCACCACTCGCCCACGTAGCGCTCTCGGCCCCCCGGGGACACGTACACCCCGAACCCCTGCTGCATGTTGCGCTCCCACTGCCCTGCAAACCTGCCCGCGTCATTCGCCGTCCGTCAACAGATACACACTTGTTGCTGTTGTTGTTGTTGTTATTGTGGATTATGCTGATGATGGTGATGGTGGTGGTATCGTTGCATGAACATATATCATCACAGAACGACTACTACCCGCTCTTGACCCTCCCCAGATGTGTGTGGATGTGTTCAGCTCTTTACGTTGAAGGTTGAGGGACACCTGCCGAATGTTAGATGTTCCTGATTTTTTTGTTTTAACGGTATTTAGGCGCCAACGCTTCAGCTCCGTCAGCCGATCGGGGATCGTGAAGAACGCGCTCCCAGCGGTTACGCGACCAAGCCAAGCAACAAACTCACTAACGGACCAGAAAATCAGTACTGTAAGAGGAAATAGAACAGGGAGAGGGGGTACGCAGACCCCATTCCCTGACCCCAACCCTAACCCAACTTCCCCTATTGTACGCTTTATCCAACATAATTCCTGAATGCCAAAACCCTGCGAAGGCTACACAGTCACTAACCCACGTGCCCCCCCTCTGTCTCTCACTTTGCCCCATTGGGGTAGCAGCACACCCCCCTTCCGCAGCGCACGTCCGCCCTGAAGTCGCCCTTGTACTTCTCGCCCGAGGCATAGGCCAACACCCCCAGGCCGTGGGCCTCCCCCGCCCGTATTCTACCGTTGTATTTGTCGCCGTTTTTTCTGTTGTGGGGGTATCGTCCGGGGGGGGGGGGGGGGGTACTCATGGTCCTGCATGCCGAAGTCGTTAGACCATTGACCTCGCATCCCTACGAAGTCGGGACGGAGCACGCCGGGTTCTCACCGGACCAGGCTCTCACATCAACAAGGGGTCTTTTTTTTGCGGTGTTTCTTGTAGTCACGAAGACAACGAGGAGAGGAGGGACAGCAAGAGACAGGGGCAA